TTGAAGATATTATTGTCTAGTACTTAAAACAATCTGAAAATAAATATAAAAAATTTATTTTCGTTTAATTATGTAGTAGGAAGCTAGTTCTTTCGACAATTCCATTGTACTTAAACATGTAGTCAAAAAAAAAGATACTTCATCATGATTAAAAAGAAATCATGAGAAAAAAAAACAGCAGTATTCATTAGATATTCTTTAAACTAGAATGTCGCCGGTAAGTATTAGTTAATCAAATAGATATAAAGATAAAAGTCGGTATTCATTGTCAATAAGAAGCTTGTTTTTTTTTGTTATAAATATTCAGGATATAATTAATTCATACGGTACTTACAAATGCTTTCTGTTTAAAAATTACATGAAAACATAATGACAGATTTGTCTCTTAGTTTTGTTTAACATTATGATGATTTATACCATGATTGTCAAATGAATATTTTAATTTTCATTGTTAATTATATTAAGTGTTGCAAAAGAAAACTTCTATTTATATATATTTTTTTCTGCATGACATCTAAATTTGATCGGAAAGTATGAAATAACACATTTCTACATTCAGAAGATGAATATAACGTTGCAACGTATTCTCTTTTTTTTTTCTATCAGAATAATCTTATAAATATACGTGGTAATTAACATTTTACTTTTCATATCTTTTAAATATGTTTAATCTCGATGTTTCTTTCATTTGACATGTGTCAATTAATAAAGTATCTAAACTTACTTTTGTTTCTTATAATTTTTTGAAGTTATTGGATATATTTTAAGACATTTTATATTGTATAATGCTTTTATTATATTCAAATTTAAACGTTTTTCATTTAATTTAAGAATAATATGATGATACTTGGTCATACATTTAATAGAAACTCATTTTCTCATATTTACATCAATAGACACTAGTTATATCAAGAATGCCTATAAAGCATGCTATAAATATCATATAGAAAAAAAATGTTAAGAACGTATAAAGAAATAAATGTATAGAAATCTGACATTGTTAAAGACTTAGTCACGAAACATTTTCCTGTTTATTTGCCAAGTAGTCAGAAGTATCCATATAGGAATAATACATAAAACTACGTCGTATTATTTTCTTTAGTAATATATATATAGTTTCTATTGTGATTCAACCACTGTTTCATTGAAAAAGTCATGTTGACAAAGATGAACTTGCTTTCTATTTTTTTTACAGAAATTGTCGTATGTTAATTATATTATTTTCTTGAACGTTACGAAAACATTTTATTCTTATTCAGGATCAAAATATGAATAGAAAACATTATTTGATTAGGTTTTGAGTTGATAAGGTAAAACAAAATTGTGCCCAAATATAGATATCTCCAATATGTCTCAGAGCACGCACTTGTATATAGTCTTGTAAATCTATCTAATTGTTTGTTGCAAGAGCTAAAAGCAAGTGTTTACCTCATGAGAATCATCGGATCATGAGCTAGAAATGTATTCATGCAATTTTTTTTAATTTAGTTTTACTGTTGAGAAAATTGAATTTTTCTCTTATTCAGTAGCAAAATTAGATTTACAAAAAAAGTGTAAAATGCGTCCACATAGTTTAGTAGTTTTTTTTTATTATTGTAGCTCAATTGTAAATTAACATAGATCTTATATTTAAAATTAGTATAAAAAACTGCACGTAATAACATATGTGTTAGTAAAAATTGTTTGTAATAATAAATACACTTGGGATCCTCCTCAGATTTATTTTCTGAAAATTTTGCATCTATTTTCTCAAAGAGTCAGGTTTTTTGTTGTAAAAAAACTTAAAACACATATGATTCAATGTAGTTTTTCATGTGTATTCTAAATATATTATCTATTTTAATCTACAATTGAGCTATAGCAATAAAAAAAAACGCTACATACGAAAGAATTATTGAATTGTTTTTGTCAATCTAATTTTGTCACCGAATAAGGAAAAATTTGATTTCCTCAACAATCAAACAAAATTAGAAAGAGACTACATGGATACGTTTCTAGTTCACGACCTGACCGTTCTAATTAGGTAAAGCACTAGTTTCTAGCTCTTGTCACAAAAAAAATGATATAAATTTGTGAAACTATTTAAAAGTACGTGTCACAAGACATTTTAGATATATCCATATTTGGACAGGATTTTGTTCAACTTTCTCAACATAAAATCTAGTCAAATAGCATTTTTCTATTCCAACTTTGATTCTAAGTTAGAAAATAGTGTTTTTATTAAATTCCTGTAGAAAAAAGGCGCATATTTGTTAATACTACATTTTTAGTCATTCAAGTTTTTTAGTTTCCTTCCCAGCGAAGTAGTGGTTGAATCAAAATAAAAATTATATATTCGTAATTAACTCGTGAAGTTGTATCAAAACATTTATAAATAAACGAGAAAAATACATGTACTAGGTTTTTGCACCGTGCGTACCTCAAATAGTTCACCAATTATCGTAGTACATTTTGATCTTAAAAATTTCTTGAATAAGAGTCATCATATTAATCACTAGAAACTGAATAATAAGAATCAACATAAATATATTAGTTTATGATAAAGTGTATGCCTCTAGCACGAGTTTCTGTAACCTTCCAGAATCATTAATATCTAGTTTCCTCCATAGATCCGTCTTGAAAAAAAATATGTTCTCTAATTAAACCATAAGAACACTCATGCTGTGCCAGATAGAACAGAAAAAAGAGAAAATATCATAATAAAATATTTTTTGAAATAGGTTAGTATGATAAGTAAAAGGTAACAAGTCAGCTAGACATATACATTTCAAATTTTCTCAAAAAAGAAAATTTTCTAATATTGTATAGAGTCATTTTAAACTTTCTACTTTTTACTTACTTTAGACAAATCAATAAAAAGTATTTTATTGATTAGCATATCTATATAAGAATAGAGATATATAAAACAATAAATCTTTTCCATTAAAAAACAAAAACTTGTAGGAGAATAGATGGTTAACATTAACCAACATATATACAAAACAGCTATTAGTAAAACGAAGATTTATTTTCTTCGATAGTTCTGCGTAATTAGTCTTTTCTTTTTTTAAGTGCTATTTTTATGTGATTTCAAAAGTAGAATTATCAATAATTATCATCATAATCTATACGATAAATATATTTTTTCAATTAGTCGTTCTTTTTTTTTTTTTTTAAAGAGAAAGATTTTTTTAGAAAACATTAGTTTAAACTTTGACTGTAAATATTTTTTTGACATTGACAAAACTGATAAGTAGGACATATATAATTTAGTTTGGTTATTCATTATTTAATGAAAAGTATTCATAAAAAAAAATTACCTTGAAATCCTGCAGGATATTTCATCACGTAAACTTCTAATTAATAAACGTTTCTAGGCTAATTTTATAAAGCATTTTAATGAGATATATTTTTCTCTATCATTCTATAGAAATCTTTCCACAAGAAAACAAAGACAATATGAAGTATGTTACAAAGAAAAAAAAATGAATGTGTCATCATAAGTTTATTCTTTTCTAAATGACGTTCTTTATTATTATTTTTTTTTATAATATTTTTATTGATTATAGATTTTATTTTATTTTTTTTTTGTTTTCCGAATAATGACTTCAATGGCTAATTCTTCAATGAATAATTTAACGAATCCATTATCTCATTATTTTCTTGATAGTTTACATTTCTTTTTTAATCATATTTATTTATTATTACTTACTATAATTGGTTCAATTGGAAATGCATTTGTTATTATTATTTTTTGTCAAAGAGCATTTCGTACAAAAATTGGATCAATTGGTTCAAATATGTCTGTTTATCCATTTTTATTTTATATGGCTATATCAGATACAATGTATTTAATCATATTATTTTGTTTATGGTTATCTAATTATATTAATGTTTTACATCGTCCAGTTATTTGTCAACTTACATTATATATAACATATGTCTGCAATTTTATCAATGCTTATTATACAATAGCATTTACCACTCAACGTTTATTTGCGGTTATAAATCCATTTCGAGTCTCTCATGTTCTTTCTTGGTATCGTTCTCGATGTTTATCATTATCAATAATAATAATTGCTTGTTTAATATATTCATATTTACCATTTTTAATTGGTATTGTTGATGGTAAATGTTATTCTCGTCCAGAATTTCGTTGGGTAAATATATATATGGACATAATTGATTGTATTATTGTTTTTCTTATACCATATATTGTTATAATAACAATGAATATTATTATTCTTATATCATTACATCGTATGAAACAAGATCGACATGAATTTCTATTTCGAACTCATTCACATTTAAATAGACGACGTGAATTAACACGTCGTAATGCATCACGTAAAATAACAAAATTATTATTAACTGTTTCGACATCATATTTAATTATAGGTGCACCTTATGCATCTATACATACATGGCGTTTATTAAATAATCGACTAGAAGACAATAAAAATTCACAATTAATTAAACAATTAGAACATTATGCACTTTATATATATCATATATCATTTGCAATGAATTTTTATATTTATATGGTAATTGATGCAAAATTTCGTCATGAATTAAAACGTTTTTTTACAAAATCTAAACAAAATTTTAATCATTATTTTCGACAAAAGAAATTCTTTGAAAATAACAATCAATTAGAATTAGCAGACAAAAATTCTACAACAACAGTTGCATACACATTTAATGGAGATCTACAGAATATTAATCATAATCATAATCTTATGAGAAACTATTGTTGTTGTCATATTCATTTGTAGATTATAAAACCACAAAAAAAAAAGAAAGAATGTGTTAATAAAATATTTATAAGAATAGTTATCTTTTCTTTTCTTCTTCTTCTTTGTTAATTTTACATTTGCAATATATCTTTAAACGAAAAGAATTCTTATCATTATTCATTGTCTATGATCTACGTAAATGCGTATAAGTACTCTTTAGGTAGTTTGTTTTTCCACATTAAATTTTTTTACATTCATTTAGAATTTGTTACAAATTATCAAAAAATGTCAGAAATAAATGAAATAGCAAAGGGTTTGCCGAAATCTGCTAGAATGAAATTTGAAGAATTTATATTAGTTTATTTTTTAAGGAATAAAGTCAAAGAAATTTGAAGGCAATGGAGTTCAATTTAGATGCAAAATTATTGGTATGAAAATTACGAAAAAAGAAAATTTTGAAAATTGAATTAGTTTTCATTTAAAATAAAGGAATGGAAGATTTACGATTTGATCTTGACGAAAAACTATGTCTCGAGTCAATATTTAGACTTAAAGCTATTGTACGTGCTCGTGGTGAACATAAACAAAGAATTAAATTAAATTTAACTGTGAATGGAGTTAAAGTTATCGATGAAGCTACTAAAGTATGAATAAAAAAATGTTATTTTATTTTTCTAAATTAAAGTATTATTTATTAGGTTCAAATTGCTGATCATGAAGTTACACGTATATCATATGTTATATTGGATCCAGGTGATATACGTGCATTTGGATATATTTATAATACAAGTGATGGTCGTCATCAATTTTGGGCTATTAAAACTGAACGATCGGCAGTAGTAACTGTTATTGCATTTAAAGATCTTTTTGAAACAGTTATGGAACAATTTAAAAATTCAGAAAAGGCTAAAGCAGAAACGAATCAGCCAACATCTACATTTGTTTTACCAGAACCATCAACTGTTTCAATACAAGTAACGATAAATGAAATCTATTTTATTTATACAATTTTTTTTTCAGCAATCATCATCAACATCTAGTTCTGCCTCTACACCACAGCCACCAGTAATATCTGTAGAACCTGTTTCTAAATCAGCACAAGCTTCTACAGTACGCATAGTATTTTATTCTCAATCTTTTAAATAGAAATTAATTCTTAGACGCCATCGTTTGCTAATGTATGGGGAGATAGTCCTTCAGCGATGATTTCACAAACAGCATCAGCGCCCAAAGTATGTGTAATAATTACTTGACGATCTTTTTAATAAAAATTCCCTAGACTTTTTCGTTTGATGATACTTGGGGAAATAGTCCTTCAGCAACAGTTTTACAAACAACATCAACGTCCAAAGTATGCATATATTTTATTATGGACCTTTTTAATAGAAATTAACTCGTAGACGCCTTTGTTTCATGATGTGTGGGGAGATAGTCCTTCAACAACAATTTCCCCAACACCATCAATACCCAAAGTACGTATGGTATTTTATTCTCAATCTTTTTAATTGAAATTTACTTGTAGAATCCTTTGTTTGATAATATATGGGGAGATGCTCCACCAACAATGGCTTCACAAATAACACCAGCACCCAAAGTACATATGATATTTTGTTGTCTTTCGTTCTAATATAAGTTAACTAATAGACGGTTTTGTGTGATGATGTTTCGGGAAATAGTTCTTCAAAAACGGTTTCACAAACACCATCAGCGCCCAAAGTATGCATAATATTTTATTATCGACCTTTTTCAATAAAAATTACCTAGTAGACGCCTGTGTTTGATAATGTGTGGGGAGATAGTCTTTCAACAACAATTCCTCGACCAACACAAACAGCTCAACAACTATCAACACCTAATATCAATCCATGGAATATTAACGAGCCTGTAATGCCTATTATACAACCAGCTTCTCGTGTAGAAAATGTAAGTTTTTAAAATTATTTTTCCTAACTCATACAAAAACATTCGTTACCCAAGCAGACAAACATTTTTAAAAACGCGTTTAAACGCATAAAAAAGGGCTTAAAATCCATAAAAAGTGGACGTGTCTGGCTCACAATCGCGGTTCCCGACTGTCAGCGAAAAACGACCACTTTTTGCCCGTTTTGTGCGTTTAAACGCGTTTTCAGCAACAAAACGGTGATAAACGCGTGTAAACGCATAAGACGATCATAAAAAGTTGTCACCTTTTTCATACTCATAAATCACAATCATAATTACAATCACAGTTCACGAAAAGGAAAAAGATAACTACTTTTTATGTTCTTTTTATGCGTTTATACGAGTTTACAAGCGTGTTTTTGCTGAAAACGCGTTTAAACGCATAAAAAGGGCAAAAAGTGGTCGTTTTTCGCTGACAGTCGGAAACCGCGACTGTCAGTCAAACACGTCCACTTTTTATGGATTTTAAGCCCTTTTTTATGCGTTTAAACGCGTTTTTGAAAATGTTTGTCTGCTTGGGTAATGATGATTATCTTTATATTCAGCCTCTTGCTAATGTATTCAATATACATCCATCGCCATCAACAGCCACTAAAACAAATCAACAATCAGGTTCTATCGTAGATACTGGTGATCTATTTTTAACGTTTACGACGACTGCACCAATGCATACTGTTAATACTAATATGTTTGTTCAACCAACTCAACAAACACCTTTTGTTTATCAACAGCAACCAAATTCTTCTGGTTCGATATCTCTTACACCTATTACTCCGCCAACAGCAACAAATTCATTTGATGATTTGTTTTCATAGTCAACAGTAGCTAAAACAATGCTTGTTTCCTCTACTGTTTCTAGCTAGACCAAATTAATCTATGAAATAGAAAGCAAATCAAAATATCAAAATATTTTCCAAGTATAATCTTAACTTTTTATCATTTTAGCTTTGAACAAAGGCGAATATGAATGAATAAACATTTTTTGTTTTCTTTTGTCACTTTTTGTCTTTGTAAAAGCTATCCATCATAATTCAGTGTCTTTTTTTTTCTATTGAGTAATTAATATTCGTAATCTTGAATATTAAAATTTTGATGATATATGGACAGATAAATATCTAAATAATTACCAATAAATGATTTTCGGTATATCTATAGTTTTCTTTTGTCATTAAAAATATGATTTATTTGTTTAGTTTGACAGTCTTTCTAAAAATCTATTTATTATATAATTCCCTACAAATTATCATTATTTCAAAAAGAGACATGAATGCAATTAACCATATAAATGATATATACTAAACTTTTTACTTTTTCTTATAGGTTTATATCTCTATTTACAGTATAACCTCTCTAATGTGAGCACTATCGGGACCGATCAAAAGTGCTCACTTTAAGAAGATGCGCATTATTGGGAGGTTTTTAGATCCTTCATGAAGAGTCTGAATATTCACCCGAAAACACTTTTTGAATGCGCAGAGTGATATTGTACTTCTTTTCAATAATTTATTTATTCAAATAATAATTTCTTTTCTAAGATAACAACTTTTTACAACACAAAACTAAGTTTTCTTTCTAAATAGAGGTAAATCGACACATGGTGACATTATTTGATGTTAGCGATTATTATTACAAAAATGAGGACATGTCACACCAAACAACATTAATTATACTAAGTAATTTTTTTCTTCTAATTACGTCCGATTAGTCTATGTCGGTCAAATATGTGTTCTTTGTTTATTTTTAATAAAGCAGACGACATAAAATCATTTATATGTCAGTTACAAAACACATTGCTCATATTATAGAGGTTGTTATTGCTCATAGGACCAATAAAATGCGCTCATTAACAGAATGAGGAGATGCTCACAATCGAGACACTCATTTCCAGCAAAATTCACTCGAGCGACCCACAGAGCGCTCAGTATAAGGAGTTGCTCATTAGTGGGAGGTGCTCACATATAGAGGTTATACTGTATTTTTTTTCAGAAATAAAGAATTAAATTAAAACTCATATACATTTAAATTTCATAATTATAAAAAAATTGTTAATTAATATAATTTCCATTATAGTGACGTCTTGATAGAACGAAATCATCTTCATTAGACATGCTACGCAGATGTAAAAAAAAAGGTTTTTTCTAACAAAATGTTCTTTTTTCTTTCTTTATTTTGTATATGTTACCATATTTAACGTTTGATAGTGGGATCGAGGAAGAAGATAAACAGCCCATTTCTTCTATCAGTATCATCGTTTTGTTGTCTTTCTATCATATGTTTTATGTTATAACATATCAAAAAGAACGAAAAAGTATTTAAAAACGGTTTTCTAGTAAATGAAGTAGTTTTTCTTTCTTTCAAAAGCTGCCATTTATCTCAAAATCAACTATTTGTATAAGACAGAAGCATTGAATTTTCAAATTCAATTGAAATATACAAACTATCGAAAAATAGCTTGAAGACATTATATGAATCTAAAAAATAAATGACTTCTCGTAACCATAATTCATTTAAAACAGAGATATGATCGTATAGGTTTTATTAACGATGCTAAAATATAAAGTAGATCAGTGTTTTTTTGAATAACTTTCGATAGGAACATCATAGAGACTTGCAATTTTCAGCATGTCCGAGAGACGACTCGAAGCCATCGAAATATATCAAAGTTTGCTGGTTCAATCGGTTACTAATCAAATTTCAATGGCTCTAAGTTTCCTCTCTTGAATGGTGAAAACCGCATGTCTTTGAAATGTTCCTATCAAGAGTCATTCAGAAACATGAACCTGTCTTATATTTTGGCTTTGATAATAGTCTTAATACTTTACAATCAGATTGATCATGTTTATTCATGCCTTTTTATAGTTATCTTTGTTTCTTGATGTACTACCGTTAGTTGAGTCTGAACATTAGCATTTTTCTTTAAGTAAAATCGTTACTAAATAATATTCTAACTATGAAATCTATTAAAATTTCACATAATTAATAAACTAGACTTCTTCCATATGAAAAATATCAATTATTTTATTCCGAATAAGTCCTGGAAACAAAAGCTAGTCTTCTAAACAGAAATTTTCATGTCAATTATTATATTAATCGGTTTATTTTATTGATTATTCGAAGATTTCAAAAACAAATTTGGACGGAAAAGAATTGAGATTAATGAAAATAAAATTCAGATATTTGTTTTATCTTTAATTTGTGTTTCCAGATCATTTATCATAAAAGCAATTGGATCAGCTGGTCGATTAAGTACGATTTTTGTTGTCAAGGCCTAAAAAATATGAAGACTAACAGATAAATATTTAAGTTAAAAATAAAAAACCTACTTTAAGTAAGTCATATAATCCATGTTGCATCATATATTTATCAGCTAGAATATTTGGATCTTCATTTTGTATTGTTTTTTGTAAAATAGTATCAATTTCTTCATCAGTTGCTTCTTGCTGTTCTCCATTTGCATTCAGAGTTATTAAGCCAAGCATTTGTAAACGTTTACGTTGTTCAGGATGTAAATTATTTATATCAGTTTTCTCTTTTTTTGATTCAATAAAACGATCATTATGTAATGATTTTACATTTGACCATTCAGTCTTCTGTTCATCTGACATTTCAAAATCTAAAATAACGCTATGTCTAATAATATCAATACTAATAAAAAAAAATGAAATTTAGTTTTTTGTTTTATTCCAAAAAGAAAAGAAAAAGTTTATTAGTTAACCAGGTGGCCAATCGAGTTGTCTACCACCAAGAACATGAATATGAAGATGATAAACACTTTGACATGCATTTCGTCCATTATTAATAACTAAACGATAACCATCATCAGCTAGACCTTCTTTATTAGCAACTTGTGCAGCAACAATTAATAAATGACCAAGTAACTAAACGAAAAAGAAAATAAAATAATCATTCGAAATGAAATTAATGAATGTTATTTACTTTTTCATGTGATGATGTACAAGCTGATAATTGTGGGATAGGTTCTTTTGGAATAACTAAAAAATGTGTCGGTGCTTGTTGATTTACATCATGAAATGCTACACACTAAGTTTAAAGTATGCTCTATTTAATTTTACATTTATAAAAGAAAAAATAAAACCTGATCATCTTCATAAAGTAAATCAACTTTAATTTCTTTTCGCGCAATTTTTCCAAATATTGTGTCTTCTATTGGCTTAGCTGTTTGTGCTTTGACTACTTCATCGGATATCGATTTTTTAGCTGAACAATCTGAAATATTTGATTTTTCTATTAATGCAGATTTAATTCATTAATTAACTCACAAGAAGGTGAAAATGAGAAATATGCATATGAACTATAACGATGTACAGTTGCTACTGAAGCTAAACTTAATAAGCCTCGTACAACAGCGGACATTTAGACTAAATTTGTCTACAATACAAACAGATTAAATACAGTTCATGATCAATGAAATGAGAAAACTTTATTTATTTGAAAGAACAAAAAAAAAATAAATGTTTAAACAGATGATTGACGATAATTTTTTGTTTGTAAAATCTTAACACCACACATTGCGCAGATACCCAATTTATAAGCACAACCTATATAAAACAAAGATTAATCAATAGCAATCAGTAGAATTAAAGACAGACCTTGACAATAAGTACTTCCTGGTTGATGAATTGTACCTTTACAAACTTTACATTTACTAAATTTTGTTGTATATGGACTGTATCTTTAATAAAAATTAATCTTCTTCAATTAAAAAACAATATTAAAGAAGAAAAAAAAACAAACCGAGTAGATTTTCCTGATAATAATTTATTTTCATTTAATTTTCTTCCACCACTTTCTACAAAATAAATATTAAAAAAAAAAATAAATAAATAAATCTAAAATTCATACCAACTGTATTACGAGAACCACCTATAAAAAAATTTATTTATTTTTATTCTTTAAAATATACAAACATACTTTTCCATATTTCTTGTGTTGCAACAGTACCTATTTTTTTCTTACCTAAAAATAAATCATTAGTTCTTTCTTTGTTTTTAATTTTATCTATAAAACTTACAATTATCACAAACCATGATAATTTATTATTATTATTATTATTATTATCTAGAACAAAAAAAAAAACCACATATATATATTTATTTATATTGATAAATCTATCTAATCAGCTAATGGATTTGCATGTATAGTAACATGTTGTATTCGAACATCTGTTTCTGGACGGTAATTTTTTTCATTAACTGGTAATTTTTCTAATTCATCAAGTGTTTCAAAGCCATCAATAACTTTACCAAATACAGTATATTTGCCATCAAGATTTGGTTGTTTTCCATAAGTTATAAAAAATTGTGAACCATTAGTATTTGCACCTCGACTTGCCATAGAAACAATACCACGTTGACTATGCTAAATAAATATTTTACTGAATGAAAACAGATGAAATAAGAATTCAAATTTTACTTTTAAATTTTGATTGATTTCATCCTAAAATAGAAGAAAAATATTTATAGATAAATAAATGAAATTATACAAATTAATAACATTACTGGAAAGTATTCACCCCAAATACTTTGACCACTTTTGCCCGTTCCAGATGGATCACCAGTTTGAATCATATAACCTTTAACATTTCGATGAAAAAGACAATTATCATAGTAATTACTTGCACATAATGCTAGAAAATTCTAAATTTATTTTAATACAATAAGATATTTTATATATTGATTTTGAGACTTACTTCACATGCTTTTGGACATTGATCACAATAAAGTTCGATTTTAATGTCACCTAAATCAGTATGTAAAGTAACTGACATCTACAAATCAAGAGCATCAAGAAACATAAATTAATCTTGTAGATTTTAGAGGAAAAAAAAACGATTTTCTGTATAATCATCATTTAGCGTGAATAGGAAAAAAAATATTTTACAATAATTTTACACATCATATTCTATTGTTCATGTTGATTCGGAATCTGTATTAATAGATACTGGATTATTTTCCATTTCATCTTTCTTTTGTCGACGATATTCACAATGAAAAAATAAAATAAAACAAATGACTAGAATAACCGAAAATATTGCCAAGATATACACAGGAACTACAAAATAAAAAATTTCGAAACATCTTCTATAAAATATATATATTTAAAATACCAGAATAATCTCGAATATCATTAATTTTTATATCTTGAGCTTCACATTGTTGAATACTCATTTGATGAGCTGATGGTGTACGTGAAAAATTCGGTAAAATAATAATAGCAATAATGCTTCCCAATTGACTAAATAAAATCGAAATTTGTTATTTATATAAATGAAAACACTAGATATCTTTATGACTTACCTGGCAACCAAAAAAATACCTGAAACAGTAGCTTCCGGTACTGGATGAGTTCTAAAATAATTGACAACTATATCATTTTATCAAAGTCAAAACATTGATACACCTACGTTTCAATACTTAGATCCAGACTTAATGGAAGTACTGGTGCATTAGTTAAACCAGCTAGAGCAAATATAAAATAAAGCCAATAAGATTTTACTTCGTTGACGATGAACTACTTGTCAATAAAATCAATAAAAATTTTGTAAATTAATTTTTCATTTTCTACTTACTAATCCAATACAGAGCAGTGAAATAACTCCAATAGAATATAAAATTTTTGCTAGTTCTTCCAATTTTTTTGTTTTATCCGCTATAATTCCCATAACAATACATCCAATGAGACCAAATATAATAAAACAACCAATACATAAACCTACAGCTATATCATTATAACCAAATGGACACATTATTTGTTGTAATAATGTTGAAAGTGTGTTGTTATTTGATAAACCAATGCCAACAGTAAAAAATAAGATTAAATATGATTTTGATGTTAAAAGCTAAATAGAAATCAACGAAAATTTCTTTGTTGTTTTCAATCAAAAATAAAACAAAACAAAATCCTACTTTTTTAAAAACTAATTTATATGGACTTTTTACATCTAGAGAAGATAAACATGATGGTGTTGGTGGTTGTGATGATCGAACCGTCAATGATAAAAATGCTGCAAGAATAGCTGGTATCAATGATAGATAAAGCTAAATAAAATCAATTTAAATAAAGAAAAAATCATTAAAACTAAAGTGGATCACAAAAGTTTAAGACATTTTTTTTGTTTCGGTGTTTTCTATGAAATGAAAGAAAATAAATCATATATTTTGATTGCCATATAAAGCTAGAGTTGAAATTTACGCAAAAGATATATTCCTGACCTAATTGATTGTAGCATGAAGAAAAAGAGGGATACTTCAAATTTTCCATAGTAGATAACAGTTTAAGATACTTTTAGTATTCTGTTGATTATATCGTTATGGAAAAATAGAGACAATTTTCAAAAATATATCATTAGATGCAGAATTGAATGAGCGATATATTAATAGAGAAAACTTTCTAAATTATTAATTACTAACTAAGAAAATGTTTTCTTTTCTAAGTTTTGATGTTCTAGTTTCATATTAGAAAGAGCATTGAAAACTGAATAACATTATGTACTTTTGTTTTGAAATAATTCTTTATAACAAGACTTTTTTATATACTAATTAAAATTTAAGTAGTTTCCTAATAATAATGATAAGAAAAGTGAACTGTAAGCATAGACTTGAGAACTGTAAAAAATAGTGCATTTTGTAGAGCCAATTTTGTTTGACCTAATGAAATACTCTACCTTTCTATGCAATGTGCTCCTCATGAGATATAGCACTCGATAAATACTAAGCTATGGAGTAAGAAAAAAAAATGGTTGAAAATCATCGTTAATATTAGTGAACAAAGATGAAACAGTTGTCTCAGATGATGAATGTTAGAGTCGTTCGGGTTGATCTTGGTCCGAAAATTTTGAAACAGACAGATTTTAATGGGCAAGGTCTATGTTTAGAACTCATTAAACAAAATTATACAGTATTATTCAATTTTCAATACTCTTTCTAATAAAATACTTGAAGATCAAGATTTATAATAAAACATTTCTCTAGTCTGTAATTAATAATATTAGATTATTACAACTATAATCGTTTGATATCAAATTTAGGTTGACAAATGGTGTATTCAATTACTTCTCCTGAAACGAATTTTTATTATTTCACCATTATATTTGAATGTTTGCTAGAAGACATTATAAATTATAGAATGGTATCATATAACTAACAGATTATTGAATTGAATTTATGAAAGTTTGAAAGAAAATATGCATACAAAATAAACTGTAACATAAGCTTTTCAAATTTACATATTTTATATAGATGATAATAGGTTTGTAGAGGAAAGTAATATCTTTAATATCTGTCAAGCAGTCAAAGAATCAAGTCTAAATGTGTTTTTTTCTGATATTTGTATGCAATAAAAATTATTGAATATTATCATTTTCTTCTTTTTTTTTATCGACTTCTTCGTGATTCTTTGCTTTTTTATTATGATCTATAAATTCCTTGAACAAAGGATAATCATTAATCAGCTGTCTCAGCATCTATGAGAAAATATACTTCCTTCTTTGACCATCTCACTCTTATTACTCGTCATGTTTAGCAGCATCCCTAATGAACATTCAGTTTGAAAATCAATTTTTATTTCTTTTATAATGATGCGAATAAGAACAATTAAATAAATTGCTATTTACAGACAATAGTTCAATATTCAAACAAGAAAAATATAAATGCGTAATATTGATATGAAAAAATCAAGATAAGATAAGTGTCACGAATGCATGAATCATCGCTTCTATTTAGTGATAATTGTCACCTTTTAAAATAAGGCTAATTCTATCGGATTCGGGCTTCTATATGACCGTAGTCATAGTATAGAATAAATATCTTTTCTTGCTTACAAGAAAATAGAAAAGAGCCAAAAAAAAAAATCGAAAATTTATTACACTTAAACGTAGACTATTCAATTCTTTATCTAATGATATACTTTTAACAATTGTCTCTATTTTTCGATATCAATATAATCACCAAAATACTGAAAGCATCGTAAACCTTTGCGTGCTAGAGAAAAATTAAAGTTCATGCTACTATCCGTTAGATCTAGTATGGGTACGTTACATAAACATTGACTTCAACTTTATATAGCAATCAAAATATATGATTCACCTCATTTCTTTCCATAGAAAACATCGAAGTAAAAGATGTCTTAAACTTTTGTAGCCTACTTTAAATAGAAAATACTAACTAATAAAGGCATTTTATCTTCACGTGGAACAATAATTGGTGGTAGAACAGTTCCAAGAAAAACACCCAGAAAATTAGCTGAAAAAAAAAAGTTCACACATCATAATATAAATTTTATATTTTTTTTTCTTACCTGCAAAACAAAGACTAGTTGCTAATGTTCGTTGACTTTCTGGAAACCACGAAAAAGCAAATTTCGCTGGAATAAATAATGTAAATGTTTGTGCAAATGCACAAATAAATTGTCCTATTTAAATTAAAATCAGTATTACAAAATAAAGTACTAGAAAATATGTATCTAAAATTTAAAAAAAATTTACTTACCGACAAAAACAATTGGATATCGACTTTTAACTGATACAAATCCCCATGTACTTATGACACGAAAACATCCACCAATTAAGTTCATCCAAACACCAGTTAAAATCTAAATAAAAAAAAAATAATTCTCATATCTTAGTTTAATTTCTTTTTGAAGACTTACTCCAAATCGAATACCAAATTGATCAATAGCCCATGTTGATGGTATTGTAAAAATACTACAAACCACCATAAATATAAGTGAAAGCCAATTAATATCTGCATATGAAACATTAAAATAATTTTTTGCTAAATTAGCAATTGAAGCAAAATTAATCCATAACTACAACAAAACATATTTCTACAATAGGGAAAAAAGATACAAACTAAAATCTTACAATAGCATTTGACATATTGGCTAAACATATACATACTAAATAAAGCCATCGTCGTCTGTAGACTTTAAATTCAGTCGGTGTCTCCTCTACTGTAGATGAAGAAGAAATTTCATTAGTAATAGCGCCGTACATCTAGAAATTGCACAATCAGAATGAAATAATATTAAT